TCACCAAGAGTTTTAGCTCAACAGATTGCAGCCAACTGTGAAGCATGGTGGTTTCAGCATGATGGTTTGGGGAGATGTTTTGGTTGGTGGGAGATCGAGCTTAGTGGAGTGTGTTGGCAACATAAATTTTGCAAAATACGTTGAAATATTGGAGGAAGGACTCTTGTCACTTTATTCCTCGGATTTCGTTGAAAATAACACAACGTTGTTCCAGGAAGATGGAGCACCATGTTACACTGCTAGAAACACCCAAAAGTGACAGGAAGAAAATGGCATCCAGAAGTTGCCCTGGCCGAGCCAATCTCCTGACATGAGCCCCATTGAAAACCTCTGGGCTATACTCGACCAGCAAGTCAAGAAACAACCAAAAAAATCAACTTCGAAGAGCGATCTACTCCAAGTTTTGAAGCAAGAGTGGACCAAAATCCCAAAATATAAAATTGATGAGATGATTCTCATGATGCCCCAAAGGATCAACAAACTCCACGAAGCGAAAGAAAGATCTACTAGATATTAATTAAATTATGAATATATCAATTCATGTGAATATGACTGAAAATTCCATTTTTTCTGAAAAGGTGGTGTTTATTTACTTGTGACCATGCTGTGTATGGTCAAAACAAGTCAAACATATGTAGAAAACTTCTTTACACTATAGGAAATCAGTTTTATCTCAAACTCTAAATAATTCTCTTTTCTTTTCAAGAGTCTACACAGGCTGATTCAATCACTTAAGAATCCAATTGACAAGATGAATTATTTTTCTCTACCCATATCACAATAGTATCAGTGAATAATTCACTTACGTTACTCAATGGGTTACCACAGTTGTATCCTGAACTTTAAGTAACTTTTTCCTTTTCGTCAAAGTCCACACAAACGGGTTCAGTTACTTTAGTTACAAATTATTCTCCTTATCTCTGTTAAACTCACTTTAAGATATCACTCGCTTGGTCACCTACATTTATATATTGTCCAACCGAGGCCTCGAACTTTCTGCAAGCTACGAGACGCTATGATGTAACAATACTCACATATCGAGAAAAACTTAGAGGTTTCGAGAAAGATGACGTCAACAATGTTACGCAACGTATAACTCGAGCAAAGTTAGGTAACGAAATTTGTCGTAACTTTAACTTTTAAAATAATCAACTATTAACACTATTTTTATAAAACTAAATAATCATTAAACATTAAATCACTAAATAAAAAATAATAATTCTTACAATAAACAATCCTGTATATCCAACAACATTTCTATATCTTGGGTTGGAATGGCTGTTATTTATACCCCTCCATTAATCGACCAATTTTTGGTTATATCACATTACCTACGAATGCCTAAAAATGTCAACATGTAGTTCTGATAGTTCCCCACAATTATATCGGCTGTAATTATCAAATGCCTTCTTGATTTGCTTATTCAAAATAGTTTTAATATATCGTACTCAAACCATTACAACTAAACTACAGTATTGTTATGCTGTGAAAACCGTTTCTAAGCTGGCGAAGCATGAGTATAATAAATTATACTTGTCATAAGACATGAGTATTAGAACTATCAGTGGCAGATCCAGGATTTTGAAAACGGGGAGGCGCGATGATTCTGAACATAAACGAGGAATTTTCGGGACTTTGGTAAGGTTTATTTAGATTTGTTATAATGTTTGCTAGATGTTGTTGCTATTGCTTTCTTATTTTTGAATTTAATACAAAATATCACTACACTCTTCCCTCCTCAAAGATCCAATTTTTGCAATTATATTGCCCTAGTCACTGTTTTCATAGGAATCTAAGCTTAATTTAAATTATCAATGGAATAAACATATATATCCGAAAGTATTGAAAAAACAGGATTTTATTGTGTATTGATTTATTTGTTTGTTTGATTTTGAATTTCGCGCAAAGCTACACGAGGGCTATCTGCGCTAGCCGTCCCTAATTTAGCAATATAAGACTAGAGGGAAGGCAGCTAGTCATCACCACCCACCGCCAACTCTTGGGCTACTCTTTTACCAACGAATAGTGGGATTGACTGTCACATTACAACGCCCCCACGGCTGAAAGGGCGAGCATGTTTGGTGTGACAGGGATTCGAACCCGCGACCCTAGGATATTTATTTGTAATTTTATTTTTTGTAATTATCAATAAGAATGTTATTTCAACATAAAAATAGCAGGTATTTTTTAACGATTCACTTTTAACACAAACCATACACGAAAAAAAAAAGAGGTAAGGGAAATCCAGTTACATGCAACTGGTCTTTGTCGGGTGATTAATGTTTATTTCTAGTTAAGTGTAAATTCCTCACAACTGGTCTTTGTCAGGTGGTTAATGTTTGTTATATAATTTCGCGTAAAGCTGCACAAAGGTTATCATTACATAACCGTCCCAAATTCTGAACTGATAAGCTAGAGGAAAGCAGTACCCACCAAATCTTGTTTGAGTTTGCTTGAATAATGGAATTTGTCTGTCTCTCTTATGCAGAGTGTCCCCCAGTGGCACAGCGGTATGTCTGCGGACTTACAACGCTAAAAACCGGGTTTCGATACCCGTGGTGGGCAGAGCACAGATAACCCTTGTGTAGCTTTGTGCATAAGTAAAAACAAACAAACAAGCTTATGCAGAGCACCTCCGGCTCCAAAGGGTGGAGCCCAAAACCATGAATTCTTAGATTCACAGTCTGGTGATTATTGAATGGTGCTGATGGTCAAGCTCACGAAAGTAATTTGGTTGTATATATTCAACTATTCAGTGAATAAATTAGTATCACGTAAAACAATCAATTAATGTCACGAAAATGAATCAGTTATCGAAGCTAGTGTTAATAATTTTCAGTGTTTTTAATTATTCCACAATTTAAGTAATAAATATTGTACGATTATAATTGATGTTCGATTAGTTTAAGATTGTTCAGCTTAATCAATTTGCGTCACAACTCTGAAAATAATCAACTAAGATTTTTATTACTTTCGATGATTCAAATTCACGTGTGAGAAAAATTGGTTAGTTGAATGCAATAAATTAATTAGCCCGACGATTAATCAATTATCAAATTCCACCAATCACCCAGCTCTATCGGTAAATACAATTTTTAAAATCTCTTGCTGAAGTAATTTATTTTCACATCGACTTGAATGATCACAGGAACTGGAAAAAACTCGTTAATTTTAGCTTGTTCACAAATAAAACGTGTTAAACAGTACTTTTATAAATTCCACTCCTAAAAGAAAAACAACAAAAACAAAATAACTCCATATATTTTCAACGATTAATACAGATGACTTTATTTCTTTCAGGTCAGCCTCAAGCTCATACAATAATAATTATTTTGTCAAGAAACATTACTAGAATTACTATACTGCCACTTTTTTGTTACAACACCAATCTAATAACACAAAGTACACACAATCTGTAAATTCAAATTCTATATATACAAGGTGCAACTGGCTTAGTATTTATTGTATATAATAGTATAATAGTTATTATTATGAATCCTCTACTGTGATAAAAACAATATATTAATTAATGAGAAATAAAAATTGCAATTTAGCTATTTTTTTTTATAATTGATTCGTTTGTTTCGGATATTTGCGCAAAGCTACACAATGGCTTTTAAGCTAGCTGTTTCTAATTTTGAACTGGTAAGACTAAAGGGAAGCCAACTAGTAAAAGAACCCACTGCCAACTCTTCGGGTACTCTAATCGAATAATAGGATTTGATCACCACTTTTTAACACATCTATGGCACCAAAGTGCGAAGTGTGATTTTTGTGGCAAATGTGAGTCATGATCCCTCGGATCAACATTACGGCACACTAAACACAATGCCAGGCCCGGCCCTTTATATTATGACAAATGCTTCAAGACACACACATTATGGTTCTTACACAAAATATTGTCATAAATAAAACTATTTAAAATTTTAAAGTTGAGAGGTAAACATTATTGTACTTCATGCTTGAAGATGATCACAATTTTACCTCCTTTACAAATTGCGCCATCTAATAAGCATACATGATGACTATATTAATTATTTTTAGTTGTTACTTACAATTTACATCATTGAAGTTTCAATACAATTTTCAATTTTAAGAATATGAAATTAATATAACACTGCACAAATCAGAATCATACATGATTTTTTCATAGATGGCGCTAAATTTTCGTTTTATTTTTCAGCCTTGAAAAAATTACATAAATAAATAAAAGTTCTGAAGCAACAAATTAACAATACGATTTGTAGTTTCAAAATTACAGTCCACAAAGTACTGTATATTTCAAGTCTTTTTTTCTACACTATAATAGTGCAAAAAGAAATTAACAATAAATATTTAAGAGCTGGATGACAGAGTATTATTAAATATCCCTTACTTGCGGCACATTTGAATTGTACATTACACATCTTTAGAAATTCGACATGCCTTATAATACTTCCCTCCGAGAGCAAATGTACAAATCGTAATTATTGCAGAAATAAAATAATGGGTATGTTTGTAAATATCCATACAAATGATGAAAAAATAACATAAAATTGTCAATAACAATGTAAAAAATTAACAAGGTTTTCAATAATCGTAATAAATATGGCATAACAATAGCTTAAAGGTTTTTATCAATTAGTACATAATCTTTCTCCCACGTAAAAAATATTAAAATAAATAATGAATAGTCAGTAATAAACCCAATATGAACTTTACAAATAAATATAATCAGATAACATATTTCACTCACAGGCATCTTAACAAAAGTATATGGAATGAGTTACTACTTTTAAATATGAAAAAAAAAAAAGGATTCAACTTTCACAACCATTGCGTTTCCCTATGCACTTGACGTTTAAATATAGTTTGAATATAACAATGAGAAAGAAAAAATAGGAGAAAAACAATATCAAAAAATATATCTGTCACAAAGGTTATCTCCAACAGTTTAGTAAACACATGTACACGCCTTGAATTACAGTAAAAACATATCTAATGAGCTAAAGGTTTTTACAACTTGAATATCTAGACAAAATCTTTTTTTTTTACAATCTCCCTTACTTCCTCTTCTCTCCAGCCAAAGTCAAGGTAGTGGTAACAACGAATACAACACTCGCATAATACTATCGTCTACGGGGTTTCTTCACAAGAAAATCTGTTTCTTACTACAGGAAAACTATAATCATGAACAAGTAAAAATGGACAACAATCGACTTTTACGAATTCTAATGATCTGAACATCAATAATAATAATAACTATTATACACTGGACATAACAGACAGACATGACTTACTCGGTACGCAGAAACGAACTCAACATATATTTTAATTTTTTGAAAGAGAAAAAAAAAGAAAAACTTATCACATCAACTTGATTAAAATTATAATCACGCATAATTTTACTCTTTGGTTATTTCTGCTCTGTCCTGCAATATATAATCTACAAAAAACAGAACAGAGGTTAAAACAATTATTTTGCAATAAAGAATTTCTGCTTCTACTTCTCAGATCTACACTGTGATTGAGAGACCCAGCTACGTTTGAAAGGCGGAGAAATAAACTCTTTAACTTAAGCATGAAAACAAGCTTTAGAAAAAACCTTTACCCATATCAACTCAGAAGTTCGTTTTATCCAATAGATTAACATCATTTTTACTTATTTAAACATTACAATAACATTTATGTACAAATAAGACCTTGCTAAACAACATTATCAACAACAGATAACAGCAGGTCAGAAGATTTTTTCAAGAAATATTAATGCTATGAGGTAAATCTTTTATTTTAATTAAACAAAAAAACATTAATATATTGTTACTATCACAAGAGCTTAACTTATATAGAAGTATATCAAGATAACACAGGTTAAGTATCAACACTGTAGTTTTTCTTTAAAATCTAATGACCTACCTTGATTAGTCATAGCCGAAAACTGATAAACACATGGATTTAATTCAAGAAATTACTGTGACAGCTAGACATGGAAGTAAATTGAAAAGTGAGCTTTTTCTTGCACATTGAATACTACCTACATAATCTGGTTTTTCCATACTGCTTACTCAACATATTTGAAAGTAATTGACAGTACATTTAGCTGTTTAATTCAACTGGTGTCCTACAAGTAAACTTCTGGACACAGCAAAGTGAGTCTTCAACATAAAAACAAACAATGTTTGAACATTTACTATTCACGCTTCACGAGACCTTTACTCAAGTCCTGCAATATATTTCATGATCTCCATAGCAATAGGCTGTGTGCAAATTAAACCTGCTGTCCATATTCAAGAATAAAATAAAGAGGAGAAGAAGATATTTGAATCTCACAATACAGGATACTTCGAGTAATCAACATAACTGCCAGTCTGTGAACGTCTATATGAATCACAGCTTTTGTGTAGCTAAACAGCTGATATGACAAATTAACATTGTGCTTGCACAAGAAACAAGTATAAAACTAGTACTTTATCTACTCAGTCAGTGTCATTTTTCCCATTACTGTTACTTTCCTTCCCAGACTCTGGTATGTTTTCAGAAGTTGTAGGCTGGACAGTAGTAGTAGTAGTAGTAGTGGTAGCTGCAGATATATATTCACTTTCTGTCTGAGAAAAGCAAAAACTGATTTCAACTTTGTATTCATGTTTTGACAAATATCTGACATACTTTTCTGGAGGGTTAGGGTTAGTGACAGAAACAGATCGTACAGTTGTGTGAGAGACAGTTGTGGCTGGCATAATGAACTCCACATCAACATACTGACTGAAAGTGTCTGGAATCTGGTCAAATGATGTCAGGTTAAGCTTCAACAGAAAAAGTTGAGTAGTATATGCTCCTGGTTGAAAACAAAATATATACATGTATACAAATCACAAGCTGAACTAAAACACTTGAAAATTTTATAAATAAGTACATTTTAAATGTTCATTAATTTCTTACATTTATACAAACCCACACACATCTTAAGAATATGTAACCAAACACTTTATTTATTTATGGTTATGTTGATAAATTACTGAAAAAAAGTATTTTCTTCAACCTAAATGGCAATCTCAAAAAGTAAAAATTCTGATTATATATGTAAAGCTACAATTTTCCATAAACTCACAAAACTACCAGTATTTTTTTGTCAATGAAGATTTTGTAACATCATCTTTTGTTATTATATATAATTATTATATATAAGATAGTCTCGGGTAAACTTTACTTTCTCATTCTGCAGCATTTAGCCCAGGTTTTTCTAATAACTGTGTACAACTACCATCTACTGCTACTTGAAATCACTAAGTACCACAGATAAAGCCAGTGCACACTCTTAAGAACTCTTCTCTCTTTTTTGCAACTTTGGATTGTGTGAAGTGACCTGCTTCAATGACTACTGCACTAAATTCTAATCACTGAAGACAGATTACAGTTAAATAAATATCAAGGTTTTTCTTCTTTAATTGGCATGAATTTATAATAAATTATTTTTCTGCTTTTAGAGCTATCATACCAATGAATTGCTGATTACTGCAGTTTATGTAAATCCATTTTATTTTTTACATATAAGTAAGTATGGTGCATGCACAAATACAGGATTTTTAGAAAAGAAAGAGGGGTTCAGGCTGCAAAGGGAGTGTAGACAGGTTTTGCTAGACCAATTTTGTCATTTTTCCTTATAATTTCCCACCTTTTTGAAAAAAGTTCTCCCCCCCAAACGTGGAGTCTGACCCCCCACCCCCACCCCACCCTGCCTCTTCAGTGCATGCAAGAAACATATGATAGGTTACTACCTGTTTTGTTAATATATATGACTTGTAAATTTAATTTCATACAATAACTGAAAATTTTGATAGAAAAAAAGAGTGACACCTACGATACAAAAAAAGTCACAAATATAATAACACAAAAAAGGTTAATTTACATCATTACAAAAACTTTTAAAGTTAAAATCTTATCAGTAACCAACTAACCCTGCCCTTCCTTTGGAAGCCTTGGTATCCTCCAGACTACAGCTTTCAGTGCATGCTCATATTTAGCCTGACCAGCTGAAACCTCAATTAGACTTGGGTCTAATGACTGAGCTGTTCCAATAATCCTTTCTAGTCCCTATGGAATAAAAATGACAAATGAATATGTAATTAATCAAAAGCCATGTAATAATATGATAGCAACTGCTATGGAGATTTTGAAAACAAACAAAAACAAAATTTTCATACAAAAAAAAAACATTTTCATTAGCATACCATCTTTGACAAGACAAGAACTCTAAAAGTATTTTATTATTAAATATATTTAAAAATAAAATAACCACAAAAAATAAATAAAAGTACTGCCAGATAATCTTTAATAATATAAACTAAAGCATTTCACTAATATTAGAATTTCGCTGAGAAATACTGCTGCTCTGAAGCAATCAAATAACAAATTTAAAACAACAGTCCCCTATATTAAACATTGGTAAACTATTTTCTATTTAGAAATACTAATGAATTCTAAAAGTAAATCTTAGCATAAAATTTTCAGCATTACACAAGAAATTCCATTTAGATTCCAAAAGTTACATATTTTCAATTTCTATTTGATATTCTTTAAGAGCAGAAATTTAATTTACTAGCTTTTATTTTCTTCAACCAGTTTTAAATGTGGTTTCTGTTAACTATATTTAGTTAATTAATTTTATTAGCTCTTGATAGTAGTACTTTTATTAGTTGTTCTGTATGATTAGTTGTAAAACTTAATTTAAAGCTTTTTTTTTACAATAAAAGTTTTACGGTTGGGTGAATTTTCTACTAATAATTTCAGGGTTTTTTTCATTGTATAACTTTATATATGCAACTGAGTAATTTACTTTTTTTTCTTCTTAATACTTTCCAATGACAAACATTCCTCAAGGATGATATCTAGTTTTCTTTTATGTTTAAATATGCAATTACCAGAATGTCTCACAAATAAATACAGATCATTCATAATTTTACAGATATTTTGCACCATATTTCATGAAAAGAACTTTTGTTTATCCATGTGGTGTTCATCTCTGCATCAGGTGTTAATTGTTTATGTTTATAAGTGTAAGCTTAAAACTTGTACTTACTTTGATTTTTCCAGGTTTTCTAGCTGCAGACTTTAGTGACCCATATCTAGAATGTTTCTCTACCCGGAATAAGTAAATCCAACATTCAGGAATGGGAAACCTTATCTGGACATCTTGACAAGGAACTTGCCCATGTTTCCTGCTATGAAAACCAGGCACAAGGAGATCACATCGAATTTCAACACGTGAAGTTGTCACTGTCATTTGAGTTTTTACCTGTACATAGAAAAAGTTATTTCACATTATACAGTTGTTTTTTTCCATTAAATAACTCACTCTATATGTAATAAAAACGTTCATTTTTTGTGTGTGTAAATAACCGAGGTCCAGAAATGTCTTAAATTTTCTTTAAGATCAACTATTTATAGAGAAGAAATTATAAAAATACATCTATATATTAAGTAGAACCTTACTTGTAAGGGGAGTTCTCTGTTTTTGGGTGGTCGGATTCTAAACCGCATTAGCTCAAAAAGACAAGCATCTGGTGGGTGAAGCCTAAAGAGACAAGATTCATAAAAGTCTTAGGTATCAAAAACCATTCAAATAAATATCACTTTCTAATAAGTGGTAACTGGTAATAAAATCATCAAATTATTTGCCCCAGAAATTAATTAGGTAAAAACTCACTCTAAATGTTCCCACATGCTTTCTAAGAGAATGTTGAGGTAGAGGACGATGTTAAAAACCATTATTGTTCACAAGAAAGTTGTGCTCACAGGGTGAAAATGACCAAGTTTGGGCCGGGAAAAAAAGTATGATTGATCACTCAATTTACTGAAAAAATATGACAAACTGCTCTTCACATCACATCCCCACATAACTTGCTACTCAGTACTCAATTTGTAGAATTTCTGGATTTAGCTGATCCCCACCCACCTATACTTGACTCAGAGATTCAATGTTAAGAAAAATGTTGGTGTTGCGGCTTCACTTTCTATTGACACTACAGTGTTCATCAGGCCCTTCCTAACAGCAGGTTCAAGATGATCCAATCCAGCTTTACCTGCATGACTGAGAGGAAACCAGAGGCTCTCTTGAAGATTGTCTGTGTAAACGGATTGGAAAAAGACTACAAATATGACATATTCATGTTTATTCATTTGAGGATATTGTTATTATGGTGCTATATGTTTATAGGCAAAACAATGAACTTTGTCTCTTCGTAGCTTGTTTCAGATTGTTAATGTTGCTCTTGATCTAGCTGGAAGATGTTTTAAACACATGAACTAGCAAGATATGTCTAAGCATCAAGCAGCTTGACTCATACAACTTATTAACAGATAGCAGTTCAGAGTCTACACTTAGCAGTGTGGATTCTTATTAGAGATTGTACGATGCATCACCAATGACCACAGCACCATCTGTGATAAAATTTTCCTCACCTTGGCTCTGACAAAATGACTGTAACTTCCACATATTGACTCAAATTTTGAAACCCAACACACCATGGGATAAAGACTACTGTGGTATAATTTCATCAGAATTAGTTCACTACCAGAATTAAGTGGTCAGTATTGACCTAGTAAAGCTGTTCTACTTTACTCAGAGACATAAACTTCACATCAAAACATAATTAATAAATCAAATATTAATATTATATACATTTTAATTTCTTAACTTTAAAAGGAAATACTTAAATAAAACCTCAACTCCCCTTGTATGAGAATTGTGATATTTTTATCACCCCTCTCTAATTTCTTGAGTTTAACATAAATTACTCACTGATATCATCAAGGCAAAGTCAAATTTTTATAACCTTCTATCTTCTTTGTTTGTAGAGACATAACTAGAAAGTCAGACCCACTTGCCACGCCCACCTGTCACCTCCTCTCCTTCACAAATTGCTAATAATTTTATCTGATATTTTCTATTACATCATTTATAATAAACACAAAGATAAAGTTTTATTCAGTACAGAGTTTTAGTTATTTTGCCTGCAGATAGAAAATTGTTTTCACCAAATTCATATCAAGTAGTTAAGGGGATTATTTTAAGGCACTTATGCAATAGTTAGAAAGCCAGTTGAATTATAATATACACCT